GCCTTAGCAGCTTAGATCATACAATTTAATTGGATCAAGTCATTAAAAAAAATATGCTAAAGGAAAATCTTTTGACTTTCTACATATAAATAAAAAAAAAAAAAACTGTAAATAAAAAAATTTTCAAATTTGGTTAGGTGATTATTATTATGCTAAGGTTTATAAAAAAATTCATTGTTTCTTTTCTAAGACTTTATAAAATTTTTAAAACAAAGAAATTGGAAATTATGCAAATTACATTTTATAAGAAAAGGTCTAGATTCTCCGATATTCGATATGTAATTATTGATTGGTCTTCGCATGGATTGTTTTGATTCTTACGTCACACCTGATCATGAAATTTGATTTGCTAAAAAAATTAAGTAATTATCCAATCAGATGAAAGTTACTCTATATTACCTATATTACGCGCGAACAAAAACGTGTCATCTCTATTTATTATACATAATGAACGAAGAGGCACTTAATGAAAAGATTCATTACATAGCTCAAAGTACGATTTTATTTATATTGTTAAATCTGTAATAAAAATGTTTCAAAACCGGTAAACAAACGTGTCAAAATATGTTTTAGATGCGAGCATTAAAGACAAAACCTGTAAAACCCTTATAAAAGACCAAATCGATGAATTAGAAACACTTGTTCAACAGTATGGTCTTGGAGACCTACAAATAACTGAACTTATGGAGGTTATCATAAAGGGGAAACTTGGTGAGCTTTGACTGTGTTGACTGTGTCAAGGAACAACCATTTTGACAATTTCAAAAAAATTTAAGATATCATATTTATTGATTCGGCTTTTAATTAGACGATTCTGACGTTAGGAAATTAGTAAAACTCCTCATACCACGTAAGAATGTATCGGAAATGTCTGTAATAAAAATTTTCGGGAATCTTGGAAATAGAAATATAAAATATAGTATAAAGGTTTTTTTCTTACTCATATACTAAAGGAGGATATTGACTATAGCTATAAAAAAAAAAAAACTAAATGTCATTGTTTTAATTTATAAGGTGCTTTTACTTCGTTGGGTTGTATTGATTTATAATTTTATAAAGGACCATACAAAAATTTACAGGCTTTATGGTGTTATTTTTCACTATTTGGAATATGCTTCTCTAAGGT